GTAACATCTTTAGGCCGGCGTCTTATCAACAACCCCACGACTTGATCTTATTTTGTAAACTTGTACATATTGTTACCCATTTTAGTTTTAATAGGAGTTTTAAAGCGCAAGTACTGTCTGAACATATTGTATCCGAAAGGGTTTCAGTAAACGTTAGTCATTGGAATTGATTAGCACAGAGCCGTGGTACGCCGCGGGGCGTGAGGTGGTAACCAGTTCCACTCGCTGAACGGGTTGCCTCCGCTTAAGTGGACCGATGTGGCTCGTCGCATGGATACGCATCGGTGCAACATATTTTTTTGACTCGATAGTTTGATTTGATTGTGTTAGTTTTGAAATAAATATTAAGGATTACTTACGGCATAGTATTGATCTTTATGTAGGTATCGTGCGGGAGCGGCTCCAAACTTTTCGTGTTGATATTTGTATTAGACAGTCGTCTCGCTGTTCTCATCCAGCTGCCTCGTTGGCGACGAAATCCTTTTTCATTTTTCAACAACTGAAGATGTCTCTTGACGATGTCATGCCATTTCCATTTCACCGTAGCCGGAGAATCGCTAGCCGCATCCTCTTTACATATCTGGAGTCCGTCGCTAAATCGTCTCATATTCTGAAGATATATTTCGTTCGACTTAGGCGGAAGACTCCTTCTTCGCTCGTCTGCCACGATTCCCGAATCTTGGGAATTTTGATCAGCGATCCATTTTGAAATAAAATCATTTTTATCACAGACTTGACCAATGACTTGTTCCTCTTTAGGGGCCGGAGGAATCCAGTCCAAACTTACCCACTGACTAGACTTCGGCTTAGATTTAAAAATAACGTCGATTTCGTCGTCGCAGTCGGACGAGCCGATCGAGCAAACTGACGTTTTTTTTCTCCGAAACCGGGAACGAACAATAGGTTTACAAGACGATAACGACTCGGGACTTCCGCTTTCCGTGTTTTCCTCTTTTCTTACATCCTGTAAACTCTTTATGGTTTCAATGTTTACGTAAGAGTTTTCGGAGCATGAAGAGTCGACACTAAACCTAGGTGTACTTCTATGTAAAGGTTTTGACCTAATTATGATTTCCTCACTATAATTTTCAGCTATTCCAGAACTAATTTCTCGTTCGTTGGTCAAAGAAATTCTTCTCTCGTTTGACTTTTCATTTTCCATTTCTATAATTCTTGCCATACTGGGAAACGCATCGTCCTTTCCTACTTCAATTATCCTAGGTAGCCTTTGGGGGCCTTCTTTATCGAGATCATTCATTTCATTTAATTCTATAATTCTAGTAATTCGTTGTGGCATATCAGTATCTCCATCGGCAGATACCGGCGAGGGCATATTATTATTTTCATATTCAATAATCCTAGCTATCCTCTGAAGCGTTTCATTTTCTGTTTCAGAAGTTTGTGTATGAAAATCGTCTAATTCTATTATCCTTGTTATTCTTTGTGGATAAATTTCGCCACTAGATTCCCGTAGTGGGCATGGCTTAAAATTATCTTTTCCTAACCTTTTTTGGCACTCTTCAGAATCTAAAGTATTAGTAGAACTAGACATTGATTTATTATCTAAGTCATTTTTGGTTGGAGACGATTTATTACTATTTTCCAAAATTACCTTTTCTTCTAGAGAATTGCTACGGCTTTTCGCTTTTTGAAGTGCGCTTTCCGAAAGGAAAACGCAGGGCACTTCGACCTGCATCGACATCTTTCGCTGCCTCGTCGTATTTTCCTTCTCTTTATTGATGTCATTGTCAAAATTTTCAGGGACAGCTGTATGCGGTAAAATAATAGGCGTTCCAGCTACCATACGTAAAAAGTCTGTAACCGCAGCTATGTGCGCTCCCGTAACAGCGCCTTGTAACTTAACACCGGATACTTGGTGAGGCACTAGTTGGTTGTCGCGCATACACCATACTACGGGCAGAGCCCCTTCCGACACCATCGTCGTGTCGCGAGAGCGTTTTAAAGTTTATAATGCAAAATAAATAATAAGTCAATAAATAAGCACTAATTCACTGGCGCATTTCCGGGCTACTGCCTGCACTTTTATAAACAGAAACTTGGGAGTATACAAAGACGCGAGCGAATCGTCGGTCGGGCGACATAGCGCGATCGCGTTCGGTAAAGCGCGCGGCGTGCGTGCGCGTCCGGCGGAGGTCGCGAGAGATAAGGCGGTGAGAGCCGCACGCGCAGCGCCGCCGCCTTTCCCCCGCCCCGCCTCCCCACTGCCGCCCCCGCGCCATCTTCCATCATACATCAATTTTTATCCGATAAAACCCATTACTTCGAGGAATTATGTAACGGTAAGCATGACCTATAAACCGTTAATCTCGATCCCGAATATTTGATTTGTGTTTGCCTAAATAATGGGTAATACAAAAATTAAATCGTCTTTATTATTTCCAAGGTATTAAGATCGCGTTACAATTGCATAAAAAGGTACGATATAATTGGACGTGTGTTGGGTAAATGTAACCGGTGGTAAGAGTTTCTTTATTTACAAATTTATTTGCATAAAATATGCAAGTACTGCAAGTTTTTGCTACACTGACGTAACGGCTACGAACTAAAAATTAGTAAAACGTT